TGGTGCCGGATGCAGAGTAATGGCCAGTTATAAGGGGGCTTCTCCCGCCCTGTATGAACTACAGCCCTGAGGAAGTTGGCAGTTTGCCAACGAAAGCTAGGTTTTTAATTCTTGTAAGATTTCTAAAGAACAATTTTATAGGTTTTAGCCATGCATTGTCTTGTTGGTTTTAACCATTAAATATATTTTTTAGAGTCTCCTTTTTTCTCCTGGTGTTCTTTACTTTTGTACTCTACTATGGATCCTCCCAGGAGTCATGGGTATGTCTTTTATGTTATTTTTAATATATATATATAACTGTTGGGAGAGAAGATTCCCTCTAGGACATACCTATGGAGAAGGGTATGAAGGCTTTTCTGTTGATAAAGTTTCCTTTTTCATCCAAAAAATGACCAGGATTGAAACATTCAGGGGTTTCCCACTCCTTAGGATCCAGGAGGACTGAGGATATATTTGGTATAACTGTGATCCCCTGGAAAAGCCATAAAAGGTTTAAACTATTCAGTTGCATCAATCTAAAGATTCACTTTTAGAAAACATCATTCTATTCTATTCTATTCTATTCTATTCTATTCTATTCTATTCCTTTTCTATATTCTCTTCTCTTCTCTTCTATTCCTGCAATTCTAGAAGAGCCTCCACCTCAGTGAAAAAGACAATGAGGAATGTCTACCTTTTGAATAGGAAAACCAAGGACTGTTGTGTCTTTCACAGATTGTCTGGGGCCGCCAATTAAAATAATATTGGCATAGCGCTGGACCTCATGAATAACAGCATTGGTGTAGGGCAGATTCCTCCGATCACTACAGCAGATCAGCCGGGAGGAAGAACCCAGAGTATCATCAAGTTCTTTTTGGACTTTAGCTGAAAAAAAATAGATCAGTTTCAGAGACTACACACAACATCTCCAACCATATCTCTCTTCCTCCACATCTATTGTGTAAATTCTTTTTCTTAATAATAATAATAATAATAATAAAGTTGGAAGGGACCTGAGAAGTAATAATAATAATAATAATAATAATAATAATAATAATAATAATAATAATAATAATAATAATAATAATAATAATAATAATAATAATAGTAATGATAAAGTTGGAAGGGACCTCGGAGGTCATCTAGTCCAACCCCCTGCTCAGGCAGGAAACACTGTACCATTTCAGACAAATGGCTGTCCAGTCTCTTCTTAAAAACTTACAATGTTGAAGCATTCACAACTTCTGGAGGCAGGTTGTTCCACTGATTAATTGTTCTGACTGTCAGGAAGTTTCTCCTTAGTTCTAGGTTGCTTCTCTCCTTGATTGGTTTCCATCCATTGCTTCTTGTCCTGCCTTCAGGCGCTTTGAACAATAGCTGACTCCCTCTTCTTTGTGGCAGCCCCTGAGATACTGGAACACTGCTATCATGTCACCCCTCGTCCTTCTCTTCCTTAAACTAGACATACCCAATTCCAGCAACCGTTCCTTATATGCTTTAGCCTCCAGTCCCCTAATCATCTTTGTTGCTCTTCTCTGCACTCTTTCTAGAGTCTCAACATCTTTTTTACATCGTGGCAACCAAAACTGGATGCCGCATTCCAAGTGTGGACTCCAAGATCCCTCTCACAGTTGCTACTATTGAGCAAGGTTCCAGGGGTGTCAAACTTGCAACGTCACATGATGTGTTGTGATGTATCGCGACTTTTTTGCCGTTGCTAGCAATGGGCTGGGCGCAGTTTTGCTATGATGCATCCGGCCCGCGGGCCGGCATTTTGACACCCTTGACCTATACTATCCCTGTGCATTTGATTTTTCTTCCCTAAATGTAGAACCTTACTTTTTTCACCATTCAATTTCATTTTGTTATTGTTTTTGTGTTTCCCAGAAACATGAGCAGCATTGTGCTAAATCAGCCCAGGATGATTTTAGTCTCCAAGACAACTGGTCTCCAGAAGGACTAGAGAACAACGGCGCTGCCTTGTCTCAGTGTTTCCACTCAAATGCATTCAAGGAAGGACTCCATTTTGAGACACGTTGTTGAGCTGGACAAAACGTCGGGCTCCAATCTGCACATTAAGCTCAGAGGTGGCACTTGCATTACTTTGTTTAAAAGGCGAAGGGAATAAAATTCATTCATTTCTAAAATCGCATCCCGCTTATTTAAACAGAGTGGCCACACTTTCTACACATCTTAATGCATGTTAGTTTAGGACAGGGGTCTTCAAACCTGGCCCTTTTATGACTTGTGGACTTCAACTCCCAGCATTCCTCAGCCAGCCTCCATTTTGTTTGTTAGATTTAAGACAGGGGTCTTCAAACTTGGCCCTTTTATGACTTGCGGACTTCAACTCCCAGAATTCCTCAGCCAGCCTCCATTTTGTTTGTTAGATTTAAGACAGGGGTCTTCAAACTTGCCTGGCTGAGGAATTCTGTGAGTTGAAGTCCACAAGTCATAAAAGGGCCAAGTTTGAAGACTCCTGGTTTAGGAGGTGAAAACATCTCTAATTGGGATTTCCCTGAACTAAGATTTTACTAATTCCTTCTCACTTTCCTCATCCTCCTGGCTCCCATGTAATTGTTGTCCCTACTCTCAGCCACCCTCATTTTTTCCACCCGCCTTGGAAGGTAAGCAGTGGTAAAATCCCAGTTCAGATTAACCAACTTGTGGCTTTAGATAAATCCTAGTTGGAAGTACAGTTTGTCCCAAAGCAGCTGTGCCGTTCCGAGGGTAAGCTAGAACTAGTTTCATTCCTACGAGTCAAAAATTTTTGTAAGTAGAGGGGGAGAATCTCGAGCAATTTGGAAGAAGACAGAATGAAGGTATTAAATGTAACAAGTTAATGTTCAAATTAATTTTGCAAGTTAATGTTATATGCATATGTTTATGGTTCTGAGATTTCCCTCTGCCTTTCTACCTTCCTCCCTCTCACCTTGGATATCCGGGTAGGCCACCATGTAGAGGAGTGCCCAATGCAATGTGGTAGCTGTGGTCTCTGATCCTGCGATGAAAAAATCGAAGATACTGTAGGCCAGATTGTTTTCATCCAGAGTAGATGTGGGGTCATCTTTACTCTGTGAATGCATATCAAGAGACTTAGGTGAGGGAATAGAAAGGGCGGAAAGGGTCTTGAGAGACATAAAAAGGAAACAATTTCACAAGAACTTCATTCACTTAATAAGGAACCTGCTTAAGAATCAAGTCTTTTTGTTATGTGGGAAGTCAGCCCCCCCCCAGAGAAGGAAATATTAAAAAGGCAGAATATTATATTTCCTCAAAGAATTTTAAAGAGGCAGAAAAGCATGCCCAATTTTTTCTTAATAGCCCCAAGTCTCCCTCCCCCAAGCAGAAACCAGCTCTGTAGAAATGCAGATGTAAATAATCCATTCAGGAAGGTTGGAGGCGCCCAGCTAGATGCTTAGGAAGACAAAGACACCTAAAATCTATGTTGAAGGAAAAGTTTTCATCATGGTTCAGTCCAAGCTGGAGATAAACAACATGGCGACTGCTTTAGAAAGAAGGTTGCAGTTTATTGAAGAGGAGAGCCAGACAGAAAGATGGCTCTGGCAGAAAAGAGGGAAAAAAGGCTGAGCAGATGTAGGGAGTGGGTTTTTATACCCTCTGGAGCCTTTTGTTTGGAGTTGTTTCCTGTTCCTGTTTGAAACTTTGAATTTCCTGTGTCATGTATTCTGACCTGAGTCTGAGTGTGCCCCTTTGGCATCTGTGGGTTAATCCTATTATGTCCTGCATTAGAGTTTGGGTGGGGTATGTAGATTTTAGGTGTCTTTGTCTTCTTAATCTTCTAGCTTCAACCTCCCTGAATGGTTTACATCTGCATTTCTATAGAGCTGATTTCTGCTTGGGGAAGAGAGACTTGGGGCTATTGAGAAAACTGGGCATGCTTTTCTACCTCTTTAAGATCCTTTGAGGAAATATATTTTTCTGCCCTTTTAATATTTCCTTCTCTGGGCGGGGGGGACTGACTTCCCACATCTACATACCCCACCCAAACTCTAAGACAGGACATAATAGGATTAACCTACAGATGCCAAAGGGGCACACTCAGACTCAGGTCAAAATACATGACACAGGAAATACAAAGCCTCAAACAGGAACAGGAAACAATCTCAAGAGCCCCAGAGGATATAAAAACCCACTCCCTACGTGTGCTCTCTCTCTTTTCTTCTAGACCCATCTTTCTGTCTGGCTCTCCTCTTCAATAAACTGCAACCTTCTTTCTAAAGCAGTCGCCATGTTGTTTATTCCCGACTTGGACTGAACCATGATGAAGACTTTTCCTTCAACCGTTAGAACACTGAATAGTTAACAGACTAGAGGAAATCTGGATTCCTCAATTTAGAAGACCCAGGTCATCTTTATTCTGTGAATGCATATGAAGGCTCAGGAATAATGCAAAAGAGTTTGGCATGAGGAGAACCACTTTGGCCTAGTGGTGAAGGTGCTGGCCTAGAAATCAAGAGATTTTGCTCTAGGCCCTTCTTAATTTGATTAATTTCACAACATATTATAGACACATGTAACTATAGTCTCAATTGGAAAAATGTGACAATCCTACATCAGGTCAAGTCCAAAAACACCAGGGAATTTCTAGAAGCCTGGCACTTTGACAAATTAGCCACATAGACATTAACAACATCTATAGACTGTGCAAAAGAGACAGTCAACCAGCCAATCAACCAAAAGGGAACAAAAAGACTCCAGCACATCTCCACCAGCAATCAGCATCCAGATCATCATAGATTAACTCCAAGGTCAACTTCGGACCAATGCCCCAATCAAGAAACTGCCAAAGAGTCAACAGTAAACAGCCCAACAAAATAATTTCTAAGATCACCCCCACCAACACTGACAGGGCAAGCCACCAGAGTATAAACTGACAGCAAACTCCACTCCTTACTAGCACTGATGATATTATCTAGATAGGGTAAGGAAACGTCTGCAAGAAAACAAGCAAACTCAGAGAGCACCAAGCTACAACTATTCTCCTTTATTAGGCCCTTCTTAGTCATGAAAAATTGCTGGGTGAATTTGGGCCACTCTCTCTCAACCCAACCCATCTCACAGGGTGGTTTAAGAGGGAGTCAGGCTATTCTCCAAAGCACCTGAAGGCAGGACAAGAAGTAACAGATGGAAACTAATCAAGGAGAGAAGCAACCTGGAACTAAGGAGAAATTTCCTGACAGTGAAAACAATTAATCAGTGGAACAACCTGCCTCCAGAAGTTGTGAATGCTCCAACACTGGAGGTTTTTAAGAAGAAACTGGATAGCCATTTGTCTGAAAAAGTGTAGGGCAGGGGTGGGCAACCTTGGTTCTTTTATGACTGGTGGACTTCAACTCCCAGAATTCCTGAGCCAGCNGAATTCTGGGAGTTGAAGTCCACGAGTCATAAAAGAGCCGAGGTTGCCTACCCCTGCCCTAGGACACTGCAAACATCATGAATACATGCTGGTTGTCAAGTGCCCGAATTTTGATCACGTGACCATGGGGATGCTGCAACAGTTTTAAGTGTGAAAAATGGTCATAAGTCACATTTTTAGCACCATCATAACTTCAAACTGTTGCTAAATGTACAGTCGTAAGTCAAGGACAACCTGGATCTGAGAATACCCCTGGTATAGGGTCTCCTGCTTGAGCAAAGAGTTGGACTAAAAGACCCCCAAGGTCCAGTGGTGGGATTCAAATAGGTGAACAACCGGTTCTCTATGTGGATGCCACTTCCGGAAGTCCATTCTGGGCCTGGGCAACAAAAAATTAGCTACCGGTTCTGCCGAAGTGGTGCGAACTGGCTGAATCCCCACCACTGCCAAGGTCCCTTTCCAACTCTGTGATTCTGAAGTTTTTGTGAAGGTAAAACAGCTGAGCACTTACTGAGAGGAAAAGATTTACTGATCCGAGACAAGTTTGAGTTTGAAGAATGATACACTGATGATACTTTAGCTCTCTTACTTTTGCCATCTGTGCCAAGTAGAAATCAATGAAATTCTGTGGAACATCTAGTGTCCCACTCTTCTCACGACTTCGGATCTCCTTCATTACAAAAGAAATTGAAAAATCATAACAAGCAAAGGCTTTCTGGTGACGGCCTGGGAGGTGGTTCATAATCCATGGGAATATTTCATAGATCTGTGAAAGACAGGGAACCCCGTTAAAAACACAATATTTGGTAGTAAGGAAACAAATTTTCTAGGTGGCCATTGTTGACAGGAGGCCAAATGTGGACCTTTTAGGCTCATGCCTCGGCGTGCATATTTTCCAAGGAGACAAACCAAGACAGGAAGATCATTTTATTACAGTTTATCAGAATATTCAGACAAAAGGGATTCCTCGCTGTCAAAGAGAGAACCCTGATCTTTAGCTTAGAAAACACCTTTTCTAGTTAGCATAACAAAGAAACATCCAAGAGGAAAGTTGATTGGACAGGATAAAAATAACATGTGGTCAAGCATGTTACACATTTGCATCCCATAATATCACACACGTTCATTAAAATGAGGTCTGATGTCAGAAGAGGCGTAAATTGAGATAAACCAGACGCCAATTTGTAATTTTTCTTATCTTCAGATCATCTTCAGCCTGTTTCTCTCTTCAATTTAAGAATATTAAAAGCCATTCCTAAATTCCTGTCTGTATTGTACCTGAACAGAGAAAATAATCAATCTGAAGATTTATCTTTTCAGTTTAGGAATGTTAAAAGCTATCTAATCAATCCATGCAACTATCCGACATTCCAATCCGTAATGAACCAACCTTATTTTAAAAGAGAGAAAACACATCAAATTAAAATACAAAATAACTGTGTTAGCTAACAGGTTACAAAACCCATGTCATTTGCCCCTCAGACAACAGCCAGTTGCTAAGATGTGATGTAATGTAGTCCTGCCCTAGGGACAGAATGAGGTTGATCAACCTGTCTTAAATACTGTACTTCCCGTTTTTCATTTCATGCATCCCACCTCTGCATTAACCTCTGTGGCTGATTTGCTATTAACTACGCTTCCCCTCAGCACATATTACCTCTATTTTGCTAATATTCCAATATTCTCAGCATTCTTGGAGGCATTTCTTTCTTTTACTTATCCAAGGGGGATTAAAAAGAGAGAAAACTCCAGATCTTCCCCATAATAGCTTTGACTCTTGCGCCATTTCCTGGACCTCCTGATTTGACAGTTGGGGCATTGGTAGTGTTGAAGGAAAAGTCTTCATCGTGGTTCAGTCCAAGCTGGGAATAAACATGGCGACTGCTTTAGAAAGAAGGTTGCAGTTTATTGAAGAGGAGAGCCAGACAGAAAGATGGCTCTGGCAGAAAAGAGGGAAAAAAGGCTGAGCAGATGTAGGGAGTGGGTTTTTATACCTTCTGGAGCCTTTTGTTTGGAGTTGTTTCCTGTTCCTGTTTTGAGGCTTTGTATTTCCTGTGTCATGTATTTTGACCTGTGTCCCTTTGGCGTCTGTGGGTTAATCCTATTATGTCCTGTCTTAGACTTTGGGTGGGGTATGTAGATTTTAGGTGTCTTTGTCTTCTTAATCTTCTAGCTTCAACTTTCCTGAATGGTCTGCATTTCTATAGAGCTGGTTTCTGCTTGGGGAAGGGAGACCTGGGGCTAAAGAAAAACTGGGCCTGCCTTTCTGCCTCTTTAAGATCCTTTGAGGAAATATATTTTTCTGCCCTTTTAATATTTCCTTCTCTAGGGGGCTGACTTCTCACAGTAGGATTGAGGAAATTTCTAGATATGGTTTACTTACGATCTGCCAGGCACTTCCTCCAATTTGAAGTATAAATTCAGTACTTTTGATTAGCCGATGGAAAGTTTCATCCTCCTTGGAGAACCGATAGCCAAACAGGAGAGCACAGATCACATTGGAGACAGCAAGAACGATGGGAAAAGAAGGCTCCATTGGCTGCCCTGTATTTTTATTGAAAAATTCATTCATCAGCTATAAACGTGATGCAATTCTTTTTTTATTATTATTTAAAGTCATTTCCTTGTGATTCCAACTCACATATTTTGCTTTGCTTTCTCCTTTGTGGGAAGTCAGCCCCCCCCCCAGAGAAGGAAATATTAAAAGGGCAGAATATATTTCCCTAAAAGATTTAAAGGCAGAAACCAACCCCCCCACCAAGTCTCTCTGTCCCAAACAGAAACCAAGTCTGCAAAATGCAGATGTGATAATCTTGTCAGAAAGACTGGAATCAGGAAACTGGGATTAGGAAGAAAGATCCCTAGAATCAACAACAAAAATCTAAGAGTCATCAGCCACAGCCCCAGGGAAGCAGGATATGACCTTTGGGACATAATAGGATTAACCCACCACCATCAGAATACCAGAAAGGCACACTCAAACTCAGGTCAAAGTTCATGCCACAGGAACAACTCCAAACAAAGGGCTCTAGAGGGTATAAAAACCCACTCCCTACATGTGCTCGCTCTCTTTTCTTCCAGAGCCATCTTCCTGTCTGGCTGTCCTCTTCAATAAACTGCAACCTTCTTTCTAAAGCAGTCGCCATGTTGTTTATTCCCGGCTTGGACTGAATCATGATAAAGACTTTTCCTTCAACAGTTTTAACCCATCAAATTATAGTATGTTCACCTACTATGGAATTAGAAGCTTTCACCTGATTTATACTGCCTTATTTAGGATAGCCCGATTCAGACTGAAATACTGAGGGGAAATTAAGCTTAAATAAGAACTTCGAAAATAGGATATAGTGATTTAACAAATTAATTTTTACACACGTAAGTGAAATATAAACTGATCAGAAAAGATGTTATAGGTAGATGTCATAAGGTAGATAAGCAGTATAGTATTTTTTATGCATGAAATATGAAAACATTGGGATGGTGTATCTAAATGAAAGGATAGCCCGATTCAGTGGCAAATGAAACAGGCTTTGGGGTCCCCCTGCAAGTACTTCCATTGTTGTTTTTATATATATAATAGCTGTTCCCGGCCACGCGTTGCTGTGGCTCAGTTTGGTTAAATGGAAAAGAAAAAAAAAGAGAAAGCTTTTACCTCCAACAGATGGCGCTGTTTTTCAAAAAAAGCATGTTTTTACCTCACAGGTGTGACATCTATATAATATAGGTATATAAAAACACGTGCGTATTCGAATGCAACGTTGTGTTAAAATTTCAAAGCAATCGGTGAAGAACTTTCGGAGATTTATGATTTTGAACAAATGAAAATTTACATTTTTATTTATATAGCTATAGAAATGACTTCTAGAGCCTTACCTTGAGTGCTGTCAAAGACCTCAATCAAATCCAAAGCCTCTTCTTGGATCTGACGCTCCAGGCCTGATTTTCCTTGGCTCAGAAACTTGAGACCCATCGCCCCAATTCTCCGATGCTGCTTCCAGACATTTCCACTGGCAAAGATGATGCCTGAAAAATCACCGCAGGATTGTCTTCTGCTCACACTGGGATGTTGCATCATCAAAACCACTTCGGATAAATGTTTTTTCTTCAACTACAGACACAGATTGCCCTCCACGCCCAACCACAACCGAGCCCATCATTTCTGTTGCTAAACAAGACATGTGTTAAGTGAGTTTTGCTCCATATTGTGACCTTCCCTACCGCGGTTGTTAAGTGAATCACTGCAGTTGTTCAGTTAGTATCACGGTTGCTAAGTGAATCTGGCTTCCGTTGACTTTGCTCGTCAAAAGATCACAAAAGGGAATTGTGTTTTTTTTGTTCAGATACAAGGTAGACCTTGATTTATGACCCACCCACTGGAATCTGGAATTTTGATCATAAGTCTGTTCACGTCTGAGGTTGTACCCTCAAGACGCCTCCATTCACAGTGGTTGAATATTGGCAAAAGGGCAGCCCGCAACTTTGTTGTGTCGGCCAACAAAGTTTCTGGAAACTAGCTTGTAATGAAATCCTCTTGGGAGTAGTCATCATAATTAGGTGTTTGCCTTGAGGCAGCCATAAACTGATTTGAACTAGCAATTCCATACTCAAACAGAGCATGATTAGAGTTTGCAGTTTCAAGTGGTACTGATTTTGAGATTTGATTGAAAAGAGGTGTCCACAGGCTATTTTTGTTTGTTTGTTTGTTTGTTTATTATTAAACTTCTAGGCTGCCCATCTCACCGAGCCTATGATGCAGAAGAAACAAAACTGGGGGGGGGAGAGAATAGGGTGGAAATAACAGGAACCTTTCCTGACCTTTTAAGGTGGCATTAATCCTGACATATTTCAGGTAGCTTTTATAAGGAGCCTCAAGTTACCAGTAGCTGTTGGCAGCCTAGAATGGAGTCAGATTTATTGGAAAGGGGTTGGGCTAAACCAGGGGTAGGCAACCTTGGCTCTTTTATGACTCGTGGACTTCAACTCCCACAATTCCTGAGCCAGGAGGAGGCTCTGGAAAGAGTGCAGAGAAGAGCAACAAAGAGGATCAGGGGATTGGAGGCTAAAACATATAAGGAACGGTTGCTGGAATTGGGTATGTCTAGTTTAATGAAGAGAAGGACGAGGGGTGACATGATAGCAGTCTTCCAATATCTCAGGGGCTGCCCCAAAGAAGAGGGAGTCAAGCTATTCTCCAAAGCCCCTGAAGGCAGGACAAGAAGCAACGGATGAAAACTAACCAAGGAGAGAAGCAACCTAGAACTAAGGAGAAATTTCCTGACAATGGGCAGTGGAACAACCTGCCTCCAGAAGCGGTGAATGCTCCAACACTGGAAGTTTTTAAGAAGAGACTGGACAGCCATTTGTCTGAAATCGTATAGGATTTCCTGCTTGAGCAGGGGATTGGACTAGAAGACCTCCAAGATCCCTTCCAACTCTGTTATTCTGCATCTGACTGGTTGCTAAGATACAAACACAGATTAGAGCTAAATGCCAGGGGAAAATTGTTGCTCATATTCGTAGGATTTCATCTTTCTGAACCCACGGTTCTCTTGCCTCTTTACAAATATAATATTTTACTTTCATAGAGTTCTCCTGGCAAAGCCTTCTTCACATGCTCTTCTGCTGACCTGATTGCAGAGGAAGTTCATTCAACTCACCTTTTCCCTTGCCGAGATTTTCAAAAAAAGGACTTGTTGGCCGTCCATTCATGTCTTCGGGATGGGCTGTCAGGCCTTCCTTCACTGCCTCAAATCCATTGAGTATAATTATCGGCAACTGTCCCAACCACAAGGTGAAGACATTCCCATGACTCTTTGCCAGCTGCAGATACATGGAGAGAGAGAGAAAAATAAATCTTAGCCTGGCTCTATTGAAGCCATTGCTAATATGTCAGCACTATTCACCCTTCAAAAATCATTTGGCATCATTCGCATTGTACATCTATAGAGATTCTCAGCTATCCAGGTTGTGATTGTCCCAAAGGTGCTTTTTTTTTTTCAGGAGGCAACTGGAGATTCTTGTTTTTTCTTTGAAGACGTTTCGCTTCTCATCCCAGAAGCTTCTTCAGCTCTGACTGGAGGGTGGGGAATGGAAGGAGCTGAAGAAGCTTCTTAGATAAGAAATTAAGCATCTTCAAAGAAAAACAAGAAAGTCCAGTTGCCTCCTGGAAAAACACCTTTGGGACAAACCATGACCTGAATGACTGAGAATCTCCATAGGCATTTAGCTATGCACTTTGGGAGGAACACCCTTCCAATGGTGCAGGAGCATGAACGGATTTCCAGAAAACATTGCAGACTACAGGAACCATTTGCGCTCCAGTTTGAGATGCTGACAACATGGACTCATCCCCAACAGCCTGAGCCTGTCTTCAGCAGTGATGGGACCCAGCGTAGATAACATCCTGCAGCCAAGAAGGATCTACACACATTTGCACTACTCAGGTGACTCTGAGGACACAAAAACCTCAACGACTCTCTAAAAGAATGCAAATGACCAGCTGTCTGCAAGGAGTATAAATCCTTCCATTCCCCACCATCCAGTCAGAGCTGAAGAAGCTTCTCGGATGAGAAGCGAAACATCTTCAAAGAAAAACAAGAAAGTCCAGTTGCCTTCTGAAAAAAGCACCTTTGGATCATTTGCATTTTACACAAAATCTTTGGTTAAAGCAAATATGCCATTAGGGAGACTATAACAATTGTGTAATGGGCTTCAGAAGGCAAGGAGCAGACCAGCATAGCTAGTTATTGATTGACTCAAACTAGAACTGGAGAACTGCAGGCAATTGCCTGTAATTTATACTCTGAGCCCATAGGGCCTTAACCAATCACAATACTTGAAAAAGCCCGCCCAAATATGAATGTTCAAAGTTTCCCTCCAAAACAGTTGGAGTTAACAGTCAGGGTCATCTAAAGGTTAGTTTCGTTTTAGCTTCACAAGCAGTTGGAGTTAAGTTAGTTTCACTTTACCTTCACAAGCAGTTGCAGTTAAGTTAGTTTCACTTTAGCTTCACAAGCAGTTGGAGTTGTTAGTTTCACTTTAGCTTCACAAGCAGTTGGAGTTAGTTTCACTTTAGCAGGGATTAACACAACTTTATATATATTCAATACATAACAATAATGTTATCTAAATTACCTTTAGATAACCTAAATTACCAGTCTTCCAATATCTCAGGGGCTGCCCCAAAGAAGAGGGAGTCAAGCTATTCTCCAAAGCCCCTGAAGGCAGGACAAGAAGCAACGGATGGAAACTAATCAAGGAGAGAAGCAACCTAGAACTAAGGAGAAACTTCCTGACAGTTAGAACAGTTAACCAGTGGAACAACCTGCCTCCAGAAGTGGTGAATGCTCCAACACTGGAAGTTTTTAAGAAGAGACTGGTCAGCCATTTGTCTGAAATGGTATAGGGTTTCCTGCCTAAGCAGGGGGTTGGACTCGATGACCTCCAAGGTCCCTTCCAACTTTATTGTTGTTGTTGTTGTTGTTATTATTATTATTATTATTATTATTATTATTTTTATTTCAGCTGGTCATGTAACCACACAGTTCTATTCATTTTGCATCATCGCACGCTATTGTGGACCTCTCCTAGATATGATAGGTTTGCCCATTCAACAGAATAACAAAGTTGGAAGGGACCTTGGAGTCTTGTAGTCCAACCCCCTGCTCAGGCAGGAGACCCTATACCATTTTCAGACAAAAGTTTGTGCCATCTCTTCTTAAAAACTTCCGGTGTCGGAACATTCACAATTTCTGGAGGCAAGCAGTTCTACTGATCAAGTGTTCTAACGGTCAGGAAATTGGGCACATTTGATTGCACTTTGAGAAGTTAGGCCACATCATCTAAATCTGAACAGTTCTGAGTGCTCACATAGTTTAATGCTTTCAGGCAAAAATTACCGTTAAAGTAGAATATTTGTAGCTCAGTGTCCTTGATGCTCTCTGAGCCTGCTTGTTCTCTTGCAGATGTTTCATTAGCCAAACTAGGTAACATCATCAGGGCTAGAATGGAGAAGGGTTTGCAGAGAAGAGGAGGAGGAGAAGGAGGAGGAGGAGGACATTGGGGTCCTTGGTGCTCTCTGAGCCTGCTTGTTTTCTTACAGATGTTTCATTACCCAAACTAGGTAACATCATCAGTGCTAGTAAGTAAGGAGTGTGTCAAAGCAAAAACATCTGATGTTAGCAGCGTTTCATCTGTCGGAACCATGACGGAGTGGGCTTTTCCAGATGGCTGGAGCAGCAAGTGGGACTTGGTCCAGCTTCAGCTGAAATATCTTCCTTACTTCAGAAAGGAGGAAGATGAAGATAGCCGAGCACAGCATAGGGGCCCATTTCTTCGGCTTCGCACTAGAGGCCTATTTTAAGCCTCAAACATTCAGCAGACATTGATCACCTTCTTGGCCCTCAGCCAGATGGCTTGGTAGGACCTGTCCTGTACCCACCTTCACACTATCATCTGTTCCCTCTTTCCTCCTCCTTCGTGGAGTGACAAATGTACAGGTATAGTATAGGGGGTACCTTGCTCAATAGTAGTAACTGTGAGAGGAATCCCTTAAATAGGAGCCAGCCGTGTGCTGCAGCTGCCAAAAAAGCCAACACAGTGCTAGGCTGCATTAACAGAGGGATAGAATCAAGATCACGTGAAGTATTAATACCACTTTACAATGCCTTGGTAAGGCCATACTTGGAATATGGCATCCAGTTTTGGTCACTGAGACTCTAGAAAGAGTGCAGAGAAGAGCAACAAAGATGATTAGGGGACTGGAGGCTAAAGCATATAAGGAATGGTTGCTGGAATTGGGTATGTCTAGTTTAACGAAGAGAAGGACGAGGGGGGACATGATAGCAGCCTTCCAGTATTTCAGGGGCTGCCCCAAAGAAGAGGGAGTCAAGCTGTTCTCCAAAGTGCCTGAAGGCAGGATGAGAAGCAATGGATGGAAACTAATCAAGGAGAGAAGCAACCTAGAACTAAGAAGAAACTTCCTGACAGTTAGAACAATTCATCACTGGAACAACCTGCCTCCAGAAGCGGTGAATACTCCAACACTGGAAGTTTTTAAGAAGAGACTGGACAGCCATTTGTCTGAAATGGTGTAGGGTTTCCTGCCTGAGCAGGGGTTGGACTCGATGACCTCCAAGGTCCCTTTCAACTATTATTATTATTATTATTATTATTATTATTATTATTATTATTATTATTATTATTATTATTATTAAACTCTGCTTCTGACTGAAGCACTCCAATGTGGTACTCAGATGCTTCAGCCCCTCAGCTCCCCAGATCATCCTTACTAATAACCTCGCCTTAATTCTTAGGAGTATCTCAGCTGTTCTAAGCCAAGTTGAGCACAGAGTTTATAAATACCGTAATGAGAGTCTCGTAAGAAAAGTCAAATCTCATCTGCCACAGTGTTCCAATAACTGGGAAAGGTGTCGGTCCGGGAGGAAGCCTTCGAGCCATTCGTAGCATTTTCAGGTACTGCACAATCACAAGCACAACAATGAAGGCAATTAGTAGCAGACCAGGCAAGGCTGGCATCTTGGTGTGTTGTCTCCTTTTTCCTCCCACGTCTCTTTCCAAACTTCTCCCTCGGTGAACACCATCAGTCTTGTCAAGAGTCAAGTGATTTTTCTGGATGCTGCTTAACCAGTTTAAGATCCTCCCCTCCCTACAGGCGTATTTTAAATGAAAACTATTGGAATTTGATCAGATTCTGAGTACACCATGCCCCTCTCTTCTTATTAGAAAACCAAGTTTGCCTCAAGTCTTGGCAGTTCCACCAACTATGAGTAAGACGATGATGACAGATATGCTGCCTGTTCAAGTAGAACATGTTTTATCAAATACGTTAGGAATTTATTAGCCCCAAATCCAATGGGTATCAATGCTACTCTCTGATATTAGAACATACAGTGATGTTGTAAACTGCTCAGAGAGGGCTGTAAAGCACTAGGGAGCAGTATATGAGTTTAAGGGGCTGCCACAAAGAAGAGGGAGTCAAGCTATTTTCCAAAGCGCCTGAAGGCAGGACAAGGAGCAACGGATGGAAACTCATCAAGGAGAGAAGCAACCTAGAACTAAGGAGAAACTTCCTGACAGTGAGAACAATTAACCAGTGGAACAACCTGCCTCCAGGAGCTGTGAATGCGCCAACACTGGAAGTTTTTAAGAAGAAACTGGCTGACTTTGTCCGAAATGGTATAGGGTTTCCGAAATGATATAGAATTTGTCTGAAATGGTATAGGGTTTCCTGCCTGAGCAGGGGGTTGGACTAGATGACCTCCAAGGTCCCTTCCAACTTTATTATTATTATTATTATTATTATTATTATTATTATTATTATTATTATTATTATTATTATTATTATTACATGGACTTCTACAGAATCTCTCCTAAGCAAATCAGCCATCTAGAAGATCTTAGCCGAAGGAGCACATGTGCAGAATTACACTCAGCCAGTGCTTTTTTTGTAAGAAAAAAGGTGCTGGAACTCACATCTTATTAATCTTTTTATTTACCTTTCGCATGTAGTCAATCACTGTACACACACCCACACACGTCAGTTGTGTAATGAAACATAACAGTTGCTGCCCACAGCAAGCACTCAGCATACAACCACATGACCAATCACAACCCTGAGCCATGCCACAAGCCAGCAGCGCCATCACAAGCAGCGTGGACGAAGTACACATGCGTCGGACTCGACACACAAGCAGCCCCCATGCACTGTCTTAATGATTTTGCTGCCAACCTGCTATGCTTGACAGGGCGATTCAAGTCCACGTGGACCAAACATCAAATTTTCAAAAAATTTACTTTTAAAACTTGGAAAATCCGTCGAAAAAAGATGCCGGAACTCTGTTCCGGTGCGTTCTATGACAAAAAAAAAAGCACTGCACTCAGCTATTGTAGAAAACTCTCCAATCTGCAGTTATGGTTTGTACTGGTGGGGGCAAACTATGCCTTTGAGTGCAGCTTTGGCCCTCAACAAAACCAATGTCTTATTAGGAGAACAAAAAGGATGCAATCCCAATTTATTTATTCAATTTATATGTGGTCCATCTCAGTCGTGCAACAAATTATAGATGCTGTGCGCTAATCATCCAGTTTTAAAAACTGTACTACAAAAGGTAACTCAGTTGTGCTCCTTGCTTTAAGCAGGAAGAAAAATAAACGGCAAGTAAAAGCTTACTCCTTTTTTCTTTCTCTTTAAGAGCTGACATTTTTCTAATACTTGATGAGAAATCAAGCTGAATCTATGAAAGTTAACTTAATTTGAGATGGCTCATTGCCTAGGATGGCCTATATCAGGGGTAGGCAACTTTGGCTCTTTTATGACTCGTGGACTCCAACTCCCAGAATTCCTGAGCCAGCCATGCTGAGGGAAAAGGGAGAGGTTTCCAAGCTGAGCCATGCTGGCTCAGGAATTCTGGGAGTTGAAGTCCACGAGTCATGAAGAGGCCATAGTTCCCCCATGCTGACTCAGGAATTCTGGGAGTTGAAGTCCACGAGTCATTAAAAGAGCCAAGGTTGCCTACCCCTGGCCTATATGTTTGAAGCACAAATGAACAGATTCATTTGTATCAACAAAGATACAAAAGCACTGAAAATGGTGTGCGTGTGTGTGGGGGGTCTGGGGGTGTATCTCCTTACGGTGGCTGTGGGACACCTAATGTTTATTTTACAAAGTTATCTTACAGAAAAGGTTTGCAAAGGCTAATTATTTTCAACTATTTCATAGACTAATGTTATTGCTAGCATTTTATCTACATCTATGTCTTATCCCTTGTTGGAAATGGAATTAAAACACTAACAAAATTGGGTTGGTAAGAAAAGAGTTTATTCTGCAGAAAATAGAAAAGCGGTTTGCAAAGCGCGGTGGATCCTGGTGAGACACTTCAACAGGAGGTTCTAAACCAGAGACCACAGGCAAACATTCAAGTTCATGACATTATATACAGTTCTATCGCGACGCCCCGTTCCCTCCCCTTCAGTCCCATTGGATAGGTCTTCCGGGTTTACAGTCTGTCCGAGGCGCCTAATAAGGATACCTTTGATTGGCTGCATTGATTCAAATTTCTCCCCACCCTTTTTTTTCCATTTACTGTTCCTCTTTAAGGATCAATTTTTCGTGGATAGCCAAGCCTCCTGGGATTTAGTGCCTATGTGCAGTTTTCCCTCCCCCCTGTCATTGCCTCTGCGTGGCTTGGCTCAGCTCACCTCTCCCAGACCTGTGCACGTGTTTGTGTGTGTGCGAGCACGCACGCCGCGATCAGTGCTGCTTTCCAAGTGATCGGCATTCTTCTGGGCTCAGCAGACGGGCCGGGATCAGTGCTGCTTTCCAGCTGATCAGTGCTTTTTCTGGGCTCAGCAGATGCACCAGGATCAGTGCCTCTTTCCAGGTGATCGGTGCTTCATCGGGGCTCAGCAGAAGCACCAGGATCAGCGCCGAGCTCCAGCTGGAGCTCGGCGCTGATCCTGGTGCTTCTGCTGAGCCCCGAAGAAGCCCCGATCACCTGGAAAGAGGCACTGATCCCGGTGCATCCTGACAGCCCCAAAGAAGCGCCAATCATCTGGAAAGCGGCACTAATCCTGGTGCTTCTGCTGAGCCCTGACAGCCCCAAAGAAGTGCCGATCAGCTGGAAAGCAGTACTGCTTTCTGGGGTCTTTTTGGTCATCATGTTTTTGACACCTTGCTACGTGACTGGTGGTACTCAAATGTTGCCATATTCTAAAAGTGGTACAATTGGTGAAAAGGTTGAAAAGCCCTGGACTAGAGAACGATAGAAGAAACTAGATTTCATACAATTCACACATCCAAAATAGAAACCCTTTTAAGGAGAAGACTCCAGCAATGAGCAATGTGGCCTCCATAATTTGTTACTACTGGACAAAACTATAACTCATCTGCAAAAGTGAGATGTCACAACACTTTGGGAAACACACGAACACCCTCCCAAGATCCAACGATAACTACTGTTGAAAGCACACCCTCCCTGTTGCACTATTTTTGGAGGCGGAAAAGCGCCTATAAATCTTGTCTATAGTTCCATCCTACTATAATTGAGGCAATAATTCCAAATGCTCAGTTGAAGAAAGGCCGTGTCCGAGCTAAAGTTATGATAATTTCAGTTTATAGAAAGAATTTTACAATGGATCTCCTTCTGAGACAGAAAAAAAGCAAAGCTATTCCTCAATGAATTGGGCAAGACTCTAAGAAGAAAATATGATAAGAACAATCTGTTCTGGCATTTTGTTTTTATAGTGAACCTAACTCCAGTGCAATAATTTAATCTCCTTGGAATCCTGAATTAGGATTTTATGAGGATTTTAGGTTCGTTCTCCGAAATTGTGGGTTGGTTGCTGAACATTTTGTTACCAGGCTAGGTAACATCTTCAGCGGAGTGTACGGGAGGTCAGTGTTGGTTTTCTGCTGCTTATAAGGGCTTCATGTGGTCAGTAGGTCTTGTGATGGGTCAGGTGTGTGTGTGTCAAGTGAGGGGGTGCCAGACTGTGCACAGTCTTATTGTGCTGAGATAACCCAGGAGTAAACAGGAATGTCTTTCTCATGGACTGCAAATGCGTAGACATGCTCTCTCCCAGTTTCAGTTGGGCCTTTTATATAGCTTTCTAGTCAGCATTACTTTGCTGCTCGCAGTCTCTCTCACGTACACACTGTGCAAAGCTTCCCGGCACTCTTTAGCAGACTGGAGACCCCTCACGTGTGTCAGCTGGCTATCCTCCAAACTCAGGATTATGCTGGCCAATGCTTTCTTGTTCTTTCTCCGGTCCCCATCATCCAGGGCTGCAGGTGGATCAGTAACTATCATCCACAACTGCTCCCATAGCAGGTACATCTCCATTTTCAGACACCAAGAGAGGTAGTTTGTCTCATTCAGATGAGATACTACGTAACCTTCTCTCATTACACTGACGGAGTCCATGTTGCCTGCTACCACCACAAACCACTACAAACCACAAGCCTTAACTCCTCTGGCTCTGGGTCAAGCTCTCACTGGGTTTCTCCTCTCTCTGGGCCCATAACCTGTCAAGGGTGTGCACAGTCTTATTGCACTGAGATAACCCAGGAGTAAACACAGTAAATGGTGGTTTGTATTAAATGGTGGTTTATCTTACACTATCTACAATATCATACACCAGGAACAATATACATATACACGTGCTAATACAGCAGGATCCAACAAACCACAATTACAGCAGGAAACAGAAGAGAGCGAACACATCAGCAGAGCCTTCTCTTTTATACAAAGGCTCTTAAAGAGACACAAACCCTGCTGAGTCATTCTCATCATTACCTTACATCTTTCATTACTTAAGCTGGTTAGCTATTAAATCAATACTTCAGGGTTGAGGGTTAGTGCTGTCTCTGGTTGGCTGTGCGGTAGATTTGGACTCTGAGGGGTTTGTAAGCTGTAGGTCGATGTGTCTGTGGATGGAATTGCTTGTGGGGTGCCAGGCTTCCATGAACTCACGAGCATGATGGGTGGTAGTGTGGCCGATGATTTTAGTGTTGCTCCAATTGAACTGGTGCTGTTTGGTGTCGGTGTGGGTAGAGATTAAGGATTTGGGATCATGATGTTTGACTGCCAGCCAGTGTTTGTAGATCTTGGTTTTTAATTGACGTGATGTTTGTCCCACGTAGAATTGGCTGCAATCGTTACAGCTTATTTTGTAGATTACATTGTTTCTTTCCTCCGTCTGTGTCTTGTCTTTGGTTCTGGATAATTCCTGGTGGAGTGTGGCTGTGGGTTTGTGGGCTATTCCTATTCCTAGGGGTTGAAGAATTCTGGCTGTCATGTCCGACACCCCTTTTGTGTATGGTAGGTTTAGTTTTTGCATGGTGGTTGGCTGTGTGTTGTGGTTTGGGTGCTGTGTGTCAGAATATGAAGGTTTTGGATAGCCATTGCAGAGAAAGACATCCAGCAGCTGTTTCTCTTCTGCTTTTCTTAGTGTTGTGATGCTTCACTGTGTCCTGGCCCTTCTGAAGAGGGTTTGGATACAGTTCCTATTGTGTGCAGTGGGATGGTCCCTTGTGAAGCTGAGCATGTGGTCCGTGTGTATAGGTCTGCGGTAGACACAGGTTTCCCGTTCTCCATTGTCCAGTCTCCTTATGTCGGTGCCGAGGAATGGGAGTCTGTTGTCTGCTTCCTCTTCGCATGTAAATTTGATCCCAGGGGATATGTTGTTAAGTGGGTGGTGTGTTTCTTCAATTTGGAAGCATTTGATGATGACAAAGGTGTCATCGACATAGCGTGTCTAGAATTTTGGTTGGATGATGGGTGGAGCTATGGATTCGAGTCATTGCATGACTGCTTCTGCTATTAGGCCTGATATGGGTGATCCCATCGGGGTACCTTGTACTTGCTTATACATTTTCCCATTGACTTTGAAGGATGTGTTGAGGCATAGATCCAGGAGTTTCGTGATGGTTTCTGTGGACATAGAGTGTTCTGTAGTGGCATCATCCTTGTGGGTAGGTGTTTAGTGAGTAGGTGGTGAATGGTTTGGGTTAGACAGGTCGATGTCAATCAAGGGTAAGTGGGCGGTGATGTCGAAAGAGACCATAATTTCTTCCTTGTTGATCTTGGTTTGTTGGACCATTGGAGAAATTGTTCTGGGGAGTTTATTGATTTGAGTTGTTGACCAGGTATTCGAGTTTCCTCTGCAAGGTTTTTGCTAGTTTGTATGTCGGTGTTCCAGGTAGAGAAACAGGGTTCTATGCTTCTCGGGGTGGTAATTCTTTTAGCTTCTCTCCCTTCAGTATCTTTCCCCCAATAATCTGGGTCCTTATTTTACTGGAAGGATGGAAGGCTGAGTCAACCTTCAGCCAGTCAGGATCGAACTGCTGGCAGTTGGCAGAATTAGCCTGCAACACTGCATTCTAACCACTGCGCCACCACAGCTCATATTTTACCAGTGCTTAATTTACCTTAACTACATCACATGACTGCTCAACATTAATCAGAGCTAAGTATTCCAGGCACAGGTTTTGCAACAGACAATAAGACTGGAGAGTGAGAAGGAAGGAGGATGTTGAAGCTACTGTTCCTTCTGATCCTTTGGATTCCACGCCAGATTCTTTCCTATGTGAAACAGATCTGGTCACGCAAACGCTACCCACCGGGGCCTTTCCCACTTCCTGTGGTCGGAAGTCTGTGGCGAGTGCTGGGGACTGGCTATACAGAGAGGACTTTCAGAAAGGTACACCTTTTGCATTACTTCATCAGGTTATTTCATCCAAGGGGAAGTTGCAAAGCAACTTGATGGTTTTATTTGTTCTTGTTTATGGTATTTAGAGGCCCATGAGAGACCTGTGGGAGAGGTTGCCCGAGAGAGAATGATTGAGAATTTCCATGGTTAAGGACAGACTTGAACTAGAGTCTTTCTGTCCCTAATTAAGCACTTTATCAGCTACATCTGGCTTTGGAGCAATTTCAGTTTATGCAATTGCATTGTTTCTTGTCCAAATTGCTTTACAGAACCTGCTGTTTCTTCTGTTCTCCAACTGATCTTGGAACACTTAGAGGAAAGAAATATGTGTGAATGTTGTTTGTCGACTTCAGTTTAGCATTGAATATAATCATTCCTCAGCATCTAGTAGACAAACTGGGCCTTTTAGGTTTTAATACTCCTTTGTGCACCTGGATTCTTGATTTTCTTATTGATTAGGCCCCAGTCTGTGCGAGTTGGGACTAATATTTCTAACACCATTTTCCTGAGCACAGGTCCGCTGTTATTCACCCTGTGGACCCATGACTGTTGTGCAAGGTTTGCCACCAACCATATTGTGAAGTATGCGGATGATACAACAGTAGTGGGCCTTATTTGGGATGAAAAGGGGCGTTATCTTGCCTGAACGCCTTTTCTCAGCATGATGATGGATAATCCACAGATGGGTTTTCTGTTGTCCTTTTACCCAATAGACTAAGTCTGAGAATTTGCCACGCCTCCTGCTGGGCTAGGCTGAACCAGTTCCGATGAAGGCGAAGCAGCAGACGAATGTTCTATCCCAGCCTATGGCCATCCTTGTTAAAGGCACAAGGACAAAACACCTGTTGAGAAAATAGGCTGGAGACTCAAACAACCCCACGAAGGGAGAGGGGTCCTGAGACGCCTCCTCATCTTCTGACAGTGGTGGGTCCCGTGGCTCCTCTGCATCCGAATATGACCCCCTGTCCCAAGATGAGCGATCAGAGGCAATGGAGCAAGCATATTCCAGGGGTTCAGATTGGAAATGAATGGGAGATTCAGGTCTGGGTCTCTGCAATGAAGCAATACTCTGTGCAAATGCCTGAGCGATCAGGGTTTGGAGCTGTTCTGGCCATACTGCTTGAGGAATATTGGGGCGGAGACTGGCAGCAGTGGGTGTGAACATGGCTGAAGGCCCCAGCTGATTTCTGGGTGAAGGGGCTACCCAATTGAGATTTGGATCTGGGGCAATGAGCATGTTGGGCCCCTGACCGGCCTCCGCATCAGGGGATCATGATCTTTGGGCCTGAGATGAAGTTGCGAGTGGAGGACTGAAGAGGGAGCCCTCAGATGTAGCCGCCGAAGCAAGAGGGATCTCCCTTGGACCACAACATCCAAACATCTGACCACAACATCCAAAACATAAATCCAACAACATCACAAAACAACCACACGTGACAAAACAAGCACACACAACATCCAAACAATGACAGAGTATTGAGACCATAACCAAGACTGACCCTTATAACGGAACCTGACTCACTACATCCAAATACGATGAAATGAGAAATGACAGCCCTGATTACACGACCCACAAAATCATTGACAGCTGACAAGCACAATAACTGGCTTCCTACAAATACACCGAGCGACCGTACACAATAAGACGGGCATGCGCAGCAACCTCACAGCAAAAGAACTAGCGACTTGAGCCTGCTGAATGCCCCTACTTGGGGGGCTGCAAGGCAAAAGTGATTATAAAAAAAAGAACTGCAGTATGGCAGTCAAAAATGCCAAGGTGCAATCAATCAGACAGATAGACAGACAGACAGACAGAGGGCTTTTTTTCTCATAGAACGCCTGGAACAGAGTTCCGGCACCTTTTTGGGATGGAACCTTGTAGATAGGCAAGGTAGGTTGTATGACATGTGTGAGTACTGGCACCTTTTTTTTTTTTTTTTACAAAAAGCACTGGATAGATAGATAGATAGATAGATAGATAGATAGATAGATAGATAGATAGATAGATAGATAGATAGATAGATAGATAGATAGATAGATAGATAGATAGATAGATAGATAGATACAGATACAGATACAGATACAGATACAGATACAGATACAGATATAGATATATAGAATGTGTATATGTGTATTATTATGTGTATAGGTAGATATATACTTTCTTTTGAGAGCAGGCAACAGTGAGCCCACAGTAAAGGTTATCTTAAATCTTAATTGTCAGGAAATTTCCCCTGAGGTTGGGCCTCTCTTTGATTAGTTTCGAGGTTGGGCCTCTCTTTGATTAGTTGGATACAGGTTATCCTGATGAGTTCTGGAGAAACATCGTGTGAAAAGGGAAGGTAAAAGGCAAGAAATAGGAAACAAACTGAAGTTTCATATTCGTCTGCAATTAGGTGTAATAATAGAGAACATTGTTCTTCCTTTTTCCAAACTGCAGCTGGCAAAGCATTATGGGAACATCTATTCTCTGTGGGGAGGCAGTTTCCACATTATCATTTTCTCTGGATACCAAGCGGTGAAAGAAGCACTGATTGAGACTTCAGAAGTCTTTGTTGATCGCCCAGTGACACCTTTTCATTCAGACATCACCAAAAACAGGGGTAAGTCAAAATTGCAGGGAGTTACTCTGTTCTGTCTTGTT